TATTTAACATGAATCCCACTGAGAACCTGAAACTAAGGAGTGTTAAAAAAATGTAGAAGAAAAACCTTATCACCCTACAGGACATGTGGTTTTAGAACAGGAGGCATAAACGTTCAGGAACCTTGTTCTAACCATAAGAATCAGGCAGCTGCTGAGGAGGACTGCAAATAATTCAGCATGTTACATTTTTGTTTGTCACATGTTTCTCAATAAGAAAAAGTACAAAGTCATGATAAATAAAAATACAGCACCACTACAAATCATTTTATGCTTCAGTGTACTTAAATGTCTGAGTCCATTTCTGGACAGACGGATGGAAATGAGTTTTTGTAGCGATCACTGAGTCTGGGAGCGGCCATTTTTTCCCAAATATATTAACCCCTCCCTCCTGCCATCTTCCAGCAGTGACGTCACGGTGCGGTAAGCCTAGCGCCATTCTCCCCGCTTTACAAACTAAATCAATGGGAACTACTAGACACATCTGCAATCAACAACAATTATTGAAGATTTCCAGAGGACTTCACCATTGAAATTCACCAGAGCTATAGTGAAACTGACAATGCCCACGTGCATGGCAGCTGGATGCTGGAATACATCAGGTAAAAGTGAAAAAAAGAGTTATTCCACCTTTCTGATTCCTGATCCTCCACGGACGGGTTGGTCGTTGGATCGCCAACTTGAAGAGGGAGGATTTGCCATCGAACTTCTGGCCAGAGAAAAAACACGGAATATGTAGCCAACATTTGGAAGGAGAATGTTTTCAAGATGACCTGGATAATAGCGCGTTGTGACAAACACCAGATACAGCACTGGGACTTGATCAACAGCCGATACCGCACCGTGACAATGTCACTAACCAGTAGGTGGCAGTAGTGTTCTTTGACAAACATGGACGCCTCCAGTAAAGCACATTCACATGAAAATGACTCTGCATTAATAATATTTTCATAATTGAAGTAACTTCAGAAGTATGAATTCAGAAAATGACTTTTCCTTTAAATCCAGCTCATCCAAGCTCTGTTTTCCTTCACTTCTACCTATCCTCCACCAGATGGCGACATTAGTTCACGGATGGATTCATCTAACTTCAAGCAAACGCAAAAACCATTAGTGCTCTGCATTCATATAAAATTTCCCTGGACACTTTTGTTTTTTTTATTTTACATTATAGTATTCCCATCAAGCTACATTTTAAAATATATTTAATTGCATACAGATTTATGATTAACGAAAATGGGTTTATTTATTTTTTAATTTTTGGAAAGCATTTGATTCAGTTGAAAATCCTTTTTATCTTTAAAACGTTGACACAATTTGGATTGGGAGAAAGATTTAGTTTTTTTCTTTTACATTATAGTATTCCTATCAAGCTACAATTTAAAGTATATTTCATTGAATACAATTCAGGAAAATAATTAAAATGCTTTATGATGATACAAACAGCTCTTTAATCTTAAATCATGGCACATGTAACCAGTTCCACAGGTATTCACCACCAGGCTTGCAGAAGTTGAACTTTATTATTCATGCTGGTTGCAGAAATGCCATCCATCTAATTAAAAACAGTTGTATATCTGGAATTTATATATTGGACAGAAATATAATAATTAGTCAACTTGCCAATGATACAAACATTTCTTTTGAGAAAATGAACAATGAATTCCTTTAGTAACCTGACTCCGCCAGATGGATTTGCTCCGCATATCCATCTGGAAACCTTCCATAGAAGTAATTTTGGGAAGGGGCGAAAATACTGGTTAGCTGAATGGCCTATGTTGGTGATAGACGGGCCAAATAAACCAATCAGATCAACGAAGCATATGACGTACTAACAGCCAGGCTACTCTTGCCGAAACCAGTCGGGAGAAGAGCAAAAACATCTTTTCCTCTGAGAAAAGCCTCCAGAGCAATGTTTTGCTCTTCTTTCAGTGAAGAAATACTCTGTAATTCCGATAAAACTTGCTCGATAGCCACGCTTACGCTAGTTTCATCGGCTGAAGCCGCCATGTTCTTTAGACTGAACTGTTGCGCTTCTCGTTGCGTCACACCTCAACCCGCCTCAAAGCCAACGCTGATTGGACGTTCGTTTGGTGAACGGCTCCAAATTTTCTTCAACGGAGAGTCTCCAGACTGATCTGCGAGTGAAATCTTAAAAGCTCGCGAGATCAGGATGGTCTCACGAGGCTATTCCTTTAGCACTCAATGAATGGCTGTAAAACAGCAAAACAGTTTCTTCCTGTTAAAAGGGAGTTTTTCCTCTCCACTGTCGCCACAAGCATGCTTAGTGTGAGGGACCTCCTTCAAGTCAATAAGTCGATCCAATTAACTAGTTTTCCTTAGATAGAAAACTTTGAACCAATCTGACTGGATGATCTGGTTGAATTGTAAAAGGCCTTGAGATGACATGTGTTGTGAATTGGTGCTATAGAAATAAACTAAATAGAATTGAACTGAATTTGGTACAAGACTATGTCTCCATTCATAGTATACTTTTCAGTAAGGTCTCAAAACCTCAGTGAAAATAAACAAACTGATCTGTTTCACAGCGACAACAGATCAAAGATGGAACATATTCATAGAGTTGAGATAGAGGGATATTTGGCCGTCACTATGCCCTCCTTTAAGGAGTTAAAGGCCTAATGTACAGAGGAGCAGTGTTACTGTTTTACAGACTTGTTTTCCCAAAAAAAAAGGTTTTTATCATTGACTAATTATGATCTCCCTGTCCAATATATAAATTCCAGATATACAACTGTTTTTAATTAGATTTTAGTGATAGAATGATTCTATAGGGTATCTGGTCCTTCAGGTCTCTGAATAGGGTGTGTAACATTGGTTGGGCTGAAAATGGCATATTAGCTGTTCTATGAGCCCTAATGCAGCCTGGTTAAAAGCCCTTGAATGAAACCACAGGTTTTCTTCCTTTTATGGTATGATCATGAATATTTAGATGAGCTGTGCTCTGATTGGTTGGTTTACAACGAGCGAAGCTGCTGAGCAAAGACGCATCATAGCAACAAGCACTCACTCACTGAAACATCAGATATAGTTGGGGGACCAGACGTCCTCTTTTGTCCTACTTTTCATACCTAAAAAAATGGTGGAAGTTTAGGATTGTAGAATTTGAGGAGAAAGGAGGTGTTGATGGGTTTGAACTTCTCTGCACATCCATTTCACCCACTGAACTGTCATTATTCATCTATGACAATGGGAATTCAGTTTTGCATTCTATGACCCCTTTAATAAATGTCTTTTTTTTTAAATAGCCAATTTATTTATAGTAACATAATCCACCTGCTGCAGCCAGGTCTCTGTAGAAGGACTAAGTCAATCTCAACAACAAAAATCAAGTCAAGAGATATAGATAATATCTTCATCAAACCATATTAAATTATTTGCTGTTCAGTGAGAGTATAAGTTTTTTTTATTAGATTTATTAGTTTTCTGTCTATTTATGTTGGGAAGACACTGTCTAAATTGGCTAATGGTTGAGTACCAGTACAGGGGCCTGAAGAGATATCATAAGCTTAAAAGAAGAGATGATTAGTAAAAGTTGCAGGTGTTTCTCTAGATAAAACCCGGTTTTACCACATTTTTTCTCCGGCCACCATTTTGAAAACACAACTTAGAAAAGTGGTGATATCATGGAACTAATTATGTGAACTAATTATGTGGGAATAAAAAATAGAAAACGTCTTAAATCATGGCAATCAGGCAGATCTTTTAGTTATCAGGCTCCTCTCCTGTGGAACCAACTACCAGTTTTAGTCCGTGAGGCAGACACCCTGTCTACTTTTAAGACTAGGCTTAAAACTTTCCTTTTTGATAAAGCTTATAGTTAGAGTGGCTCCGGTTATCCTGAGATATCTCTATAGTTGTGCTGCTATTAGGGGTGGGTATCGCCAAAGAAGTCACGATTCGATTCGAATCACGATTCACAGGCCACGATGCGATTCTATCACGATGCATCACGATGCTTGAATTATTGCGATGCATTGCAAAATTTTCTCCTCCATGTTTTGTTTTTGAATGACTCGGCACAGTATCCCGTGGCCGGAAATGCTTGTGACACAAGGCAGCGTGCGTCAACACATTTGCAGCGACATCTACTGGACTGGAAGTGGTATTACACTTGTTTTTGGCTGATGTTCGCCAACCATTCATGCAATTTTATTTATTCATTTTTTTAAATTAATAATCGATTCTTGGCATCAAGAATCGATGCAGTAGATCACGAAAATTAGAATCACGATGCATCATCATGACGATTATTTTGCACACCCCTAGCTGCTATAGGCTTAGACTTTTGGAGGACATAGGGACCCCTTTTTCATCATTCTGCTCATTCTGTCTCTATTCTCCTATTCTGCAGAATCTGTTAGTTCAATCTCTAACGTTCTGCTCTCTCTGCTTTTTCTCATAGTAGCTTCATCTGGTCTGTTCCTGTTTGGCTGTGACTCCATCCTGGAGAGAAATATTAGCTGTGCTGCTGCCATCAACACCTTTGTTTCTAGATGTTGGAGCTTGGCCTGTTTTCCAGTGTAGTCCTGTTTCTCTGACTGTGACTAACTGGATGTGCTCTCTTCATCCTCTGACATGGGAGCTGGCTCGGAGCTCGTCTGCCTGGCTGTGTGTTTCCTGGATGGGGCCGCCTTTTACAGCTGCCCTTTTTATCTCTGCTTTTGTCTCCTTGAACCTGGTTCTGCTGGAGGTTTCTTCCTGGTAAAAGGGAGTTTTTCCTCTCCACTGTCGCTACAAGCATGCTTAGTGTGAGGGATTGTATTTGAGTCAAAGAGTCGATGCAATCGGGTGGTTTTCCTTAGATAGAAAACTTTGAATATATCTGACTGGATGATCGGGTAAACTGGAAAGTGCCTTGAGATGAAATGTGTTGTGAATTGGCGCTATAAACTGGATTTAATTTTTACAGCTGAGCAAAGGTTGAATTCTGAACTTTGGTATAAAACACACCTTAGTTCCACTTGAACTGTAGCAGGAAACTGTGATTGTTGTTTCATGCACAGAGGCAGTGTCAGATTCACCATCAAACCAAAACTAGCAGCTTCCTCTGAGTGAGTCCAGCTGCAGGAGAGAAAAGTGGAAACCTCCAACACTGCTGCTTCAAGCTGCTCACACTCCACACACTGAAGGTGAGTTGGACCAAGAACACCACTCAGAGTCACTTTGAGGGAAGTTAGTAGAGGAGGGCAACCCAGTCTCATGGGAAAATGTACCCCCACTACGTTGGTCCACACTGCAAAACGTAGTGGAGGTACATTAATGGCCATTTTTTTGTGGTACTGTTACGTTTCTTCTGCCTATACGCTTTCTATTGTTTTACGTCCTAGTCACGTGACTTTCAAGATTCCAGCTGGGAGAAGAAAAAAATATATATAGATGGCCGACATTCGCTCATTTTTTTTTGGAAAGATTAATAACTTGAGGTTTTTTTTGCATTAAAATGAGTTTTGATTACATTTCTAGTGAGAAATGTATAGTTTGTTGCCAGAATATTTACTCAGGGAATGTACATATTCACTTGCTTGTTCATTTCTTGCAAAGATTTTTCAAGATAATGTGAAACTGTAACATTTTGGTATAAACATGGCTGAGATTTCTCTAACTTTTAGTGGGAAAATCAATAATTTCAATCAGTTTCTGCATTTAAATGGGTTTTGATTACATTTATAGCGAGAAGTGTAGGGTTTATTTACATAATATTTACTTAGTGAACATACATAATCACCCGCTTGCTAGTTTTTGCTACGGTTTTTCGGATCTCGTCAGGATTATGTGAAATTGCAACGTTTAGGCTGCTACCCATCGCCTAGCATTTAGCTGCCGCCCCGATTCAACATTGAATTCTTTGTGATTTAACTCCATCTGACGGATCAAACCCTCGCCACTGCGTGCGTTGCGTCTGAGGTTGATTTTCAGATCAATGCATTACATCGTGGCATACGGGAGAAAATAATGTTGACAGAATGATCATGGGTTAAGATCGGATGTGTTTTATTGATATTGATATTTATGCATCTAAAAGATATTTATGCATCTATGCTCAGTTAAATCACAAAGAATTCAATGTTGAATCGGGGCGGCAGCTAAATGCTAGGCGATGGGTAGCAGCCAAAACGTTGCAATTTCACATATTCCTGACGAGATCCGAAAAACCGTAGCAAAAACTAGCAAGCGGGTGATTATGTATGTTCACTAAGTAAATATTATGTAAATAAACCCTACACTTCTCGCTATAAATGTAATCAAAACCCATTTAAATGCAGAAACTGATTGAAATTATTGATTTTCCCACTAAAAGTTAGAGATATCTCTGCCATGTTTATACCAAAACGTTACAGTTTCACAATATCTTGAAAAATCTTTGCAAGAAATGAACAAGCAAGTGAATATGTACATTCCCTGAGTAAATATTCTGGCAACAAACTATACATTTCTCACTAGAAATGTAATCAAAACTCATTTTAATGCAAAAACAAACTCAAGTTATTAATCTTTCCACAAAGAAAATGAGCGAATGTCGGCCATCTATATATATTTTTTTCTTCTCCCAGCTGGAATCTTGAAAGTCACGTGACTAGGACGTAAAACAATAGAAAGCGTATAGGCAGAAGAAACGTAACAGTGCCACAAAAAAATGGCCATTAATGTACCTCCACTACGTTTTGCAGTGTGGACCAACGTAGTGGGGGTACATTTTCCCATGAGACTGGGTTGAGGAGGGAGGGGAGCCATGACTGACTGGACCTTCTGTGTTTTCAGCTTCACTCAGAGACTAAATGGCTTCCAGGTTAGAGGAGGATCTCTGCTGTCCGGTCTGTCAGGACGTCTTTAAGGATCCAGTTCTTCTGTCATGTAGCCACAGCTTCTGTAAGGAGTGTCTGAAGAACTGGTGGAGAGAGAAACCAGTAAGAGAGTGTCCAGTTTGTAAGAGGAGATCTTCTAAGTTTGAACCACCTTTAAATCTTGTTCTGAGGAACCTGTGTGAGACCTTCTTACAGCAGGGAGAGGAGATAGCTTCAGAGGATCTCTGCAGTCTGCACACCGAGAAACTCAAGCTCTTCTGTCTGGACCATCAGCAGCCAGTGTGCGTCATCTGCAAAGATTCAGAAAAACACAGCAAGCACAGATTCAGACCCATCGATGAAGCTGCTCAGCAACACAAGAAGAAACTTCAGGAAACTCTGGAAACTCTGAAGAAGAAGCTGGAAGTTAGGAAGAAAGTTCAGGAGGAGTTTGATCAGACAGCAGTACACATGAAGGTCCAGGCCCGACACACAGAGAGGCTGATTAAGGAGCAGTTTAAGAAGCTTCATCAGTTTCTAGCAGAGGAAGAGGAGGCCAGGCTGGCTGCACTGAGGGAGGAAGAGGAGCAGAAGAGAGGGATGATGAAGGAGAAGATGGAGGCTCTGAGCAGAGAAATAGCAGCTCTTTCAGACACAGTCAGAGCCACAGAGGAGGAGCTGAGAGCTGAAGACGTCTCATTCCTGCACAACTACAAGGCTGCAGTGGAAAGAGTCCAGCGCTGCCCCCTGCTGGAGGGTCCACAGCTGCCCTCAGGAGCTCTGATAGACCAGGCCAAACATCTGGGCAACCTGGCCTTCAACATCTGGAGCAACATGAAGAACATGGTGTCCTACACTCCTCTCATCCTGGACCCAAACACTGCTCATCCAGAACTCATCCTGTCTGATGATCTGACCAGTGTGACTGGAGGACAGAAACAGAAGCTTCCTGATAATCCAGAGAGGTTTGGGATTCAGCGTTCTGTGCTGAGTTCTGAGGGCTTTAACTCAGGGATCCACAGCTGGGATGTTGATGTTGGAGGAAGCAATGACTGGAGAGTTGGTGTGTTAGCAGAGTCTGTGAAAAGGAAGGGATTCATATATTCTGGATTTCTGGTTATACAGCTCTATGAAGGTGAATACTCGGCACGGTCGCCGCCATCTCCTCCCAAAGTTCTCTCAGTTCAGAAGAAGCTCCAGAGGATCAGAGTGAATCTGGACTGGGACAGAGGAAAGCTGTCCTTCTCTGATCTGGACACTAACACACACATACACACCTTCACACACACCGTCACTGACAAGATGTTTCCACACATCAAAATTTGGAGTCAAGTAAAAATCTTACCCATGAAGATCTCAGTGAGCAAACAGCAGCTCTGATGTTCTCAGCATGAAGAACACAAAGTCCGAATAAAACCTTATTGATCTGATTGAAACTCAGTGATTGAAACAGGAAAGTGGAGATGATCTGATCTGATCATCTGGTTGTTTTCAGCTCCCTTTCAGATCTGCTTCATATTCCGTCCAAATGCTGCAAACTAAATGTGACATGAAATAAATGATGTGGAGTTTAACTGGAGATCTTTACCTTCCTCTGTGACTGGGCACTGACTCCTAACCTGACTCCGCCAGATAGATTTGCTCCGCATATCCATCTGGAAACCTTCCGTAGAAGTAATTTTGGGAAGGGGCGAAAATACTGGTTAGCTGATTGGCCTATGTTGGTGATAGACGGGCCAAATAAACCAATCAGATCAACGAAGCATATGACGTACTAACAGAGCGACGACGAAGAGGAGCCAATTGATAGATCAAACTCTTGGTGAAACCAGTCGGGAGAAGAGCAAAAACATCTTTTCCTCTGAGAAAAGCCTCCAGAGCAGTGTTTTGCTCTTCTTTCAGTGAAGAAATACTCTGTAATTCCGGTAAAACTTGCTTGATAGCCACGCTAACGCTAGTTTCATCGGCTGAAGCCGCCATGTTCTTTAGACAGAACTGTCGCGCTTCTCGTTGCGTCACACCTCAACCCGCCTCAAAGCCAACGCTGATTGGACGTTCGTTTGGTGAACGGCTTCAAATTTCCTTCAACGGAGAGTCTCCAGACTGATTAGCGAGTGAAACCTTGAAAGCTCGTGAGATCAGGATGGTCTCACGAGGCTAACTGACTCAAGGGGTCTCCATACTTCACATCCTGTCCGAGTTTAAGACATTCAACATCAACAGTGTGTGTAAGACACATGAGTTAAGTTGGCCCCCCCACCTTCTTCAAATCAGACAAAATTAGTGTCAAACGTTTGAGCTGGTTTGTGCAGCAAAAATTTTCGTTTGTGCCGCTATCATTTTTTTACAGTTTAAAATGATATAATCATAGGTTAGCAACTTATAATTTATATGAAATTCAGAGTTTCAGAATGAACAAATGTTCACTGAGCTTTGATGGCTTCTACAAACAATTAAATTCAATTCAATTCAGTTTATTTATATAGCGCCAAATTCACAACACATGTCATCTCAAGGCACTTTACAGTTCAACCAGATCATACAGTCAAATTGATACAAAGTTTTCTATCTAAGGAAAACCAGTTGATTGCATTGACTCATTGACTCAAATACAATCCCCCACACTAAGCATGCTTGTAGCGACAGTGGAGAGGAAAAACTCCCTTTGAACAGGAAGAAACCTCCAGCAGAACCAGGCTCAGTGTGAGCGGCCATCTGCCGAGGCCGACTGGGGTTCAAGGAGACAGAAGCAGAGATACAAAAAGCAGCTGTAAAAGGCGGCCCCGTCCAGGAAACACGCAGCCAGGCAGACGAGCTCCAAGGCAGCTCCCATGCCAGAGGACGAAGAGAGCACATCCACTCAGTCACGGTCAGAGAAACAGGACCACACTGGAAAACAGGCCGATCTCCAACATCTATAAACAAGGGTGTTGATGGAAGCAGCACAGCTGATGTTTCTTTCCAGGATGACGTCACAGCCAAACAGGAACAGACGAGGCAAAGCTACTCTGAGGAAAAGCAGAGAGAGCAGAAGGTTAGAGATTGAACTAACAGATTCTGCAGAATAGGAGAACAGAGAGAGAATGAAGCAGAATGATGAAATTGGGGTCCCTATGTCCTCCAAAAGTCTAAGCCTATAGCAGCATAACTATAGAGATAGCTCAGGATAACCTGAGCCACCCTAACTATAAGCTTTATCAAAAAGGAAAGTTTTAAGCCTAGCCTTAAAAGTAGACAGGGTGTCTGCCTCACGGACTAAAACTGGTAGTTGGTTCCACAGGAGAGGAGCCTGATAACTAAAAGATCTGCCTCCCATTCTACTTTTAGAAATTCTAGGAACCACTAGTAAACCTGCAGATTGAGAGCGAAGTGCTCTGTTAGGAACATAAGGAACAATCAGATCTCTGATATAAGATGGAGCTTGGCCATTTAAGGCTTTATATGTGAGAAGGAGGATTTTAAATTCTATTCTTGATTTAACAGGAAGCCAATGAAGAGAAGCCAGGATAGGAGAGATATGATCTCTCTTTTTTATTTTCATTAGAACTCTGGCTGCAGCATTTTGGATCAGCTGAAGGCTTTTAACTACAGTTTGTGGACTTCCTGATAGTAAAGAATTACAATAGTCCAGCCTTGAAGTAACAAATGCATGGACTAGTTTCTCAGCATCACCCCTGGACAGGATATTTCTAATTTTTGCAATGTTCCTCAGATGAAAGAAGGAAATTCTAGAAACCCCTTTGATATGGGATTTAAATGACAGGTCCTGATCAAAAATAACACCAAGATTTTTTACTTTATTATCTGAAATCAGTTTAATCCCATCCAAATGAAGTGACTGGCTAATCAGCTTCTTTTTCAGAGACTCTGGTCCAAAGACTATAACTTCTGTTTTGTCTGCATTCAGAAGCAGAAAGTTAAGAGTCATCCAGGTTTTTATGTCTTCAAGACATGCCTGTAATCTATGTAATGGGTTAGCTTCATCTGGATTATAGACAGATATAGCTGGGTATCATCAGCATAACAGTGGAAATTAATCCCATGCTGTCTAATAATTCTACCAATTGGGAGCATGTATAAAGTAAAGAGAATTGGTCCTAGCACTGATCCCTGTGGTACTCCACAGGTAACCTGTGAGCATGTGGAAGATCTATCATTAACATGAACAAACTGAATTCGATCAGATAGATAAGATTTAAACCAGTCTAGTGCTGTTCCTTTAATTCCAACAAAATATTCAAGTCTTTCTAAAAGAATATTATGGTCAACTGTATCAAATGCAGCACTAAGATCCAACAGGACGAGCACAGATACAAGTCCATTATCTGAGGCCATGAGAATATCATTAGTGACTTTCACCAGAGCTGTTTCAGTGCTATGATGAGCTCTAAAGCCAGACTGAAACTCTTCAAAAAGTTCATTATGGTGGAAGTGATCGCAAACTTGTTTGGCAACTACTTTCTCAAGAATTTTGGATAAGAAAGGAAGATTGGATATAGGTCTATAATTGACCAAGTCATCTGGGTCAAGAGACGGTTTCTTAAGCAGAGGTTTAATTACAGCAACCTTAAAAGCTTTAGGTACATATCCCTGTAACAGAGATAGATTAATCACATCTAAAATGGAGGAGGAGATCAAAGGGAATACCTCCTTAAATAACCTGGTTGGAACTGGATCTAACATACAAGTTGAAGGCTTAGATGAAGACAATAATTTTGCTAATTCAGAGAGTTCAACTGGATCAAAGCAGTCTAAACCCGGTTCAGATTCCATGACTACCTCAGGTACAATCGCGGATAGAGGAGTGCTTATGATCTTATTTTTAATAAGATCAATCTTATTTATAAAGAATCCCATAAAATCATTGCTGCTAAGAGCAGGTGGAATGGACGGTTCAACAGAGCTATGGCTCTGGGTGAGTTTGGCAACTGTATTAAAAAGAAATCTAGGATTATTCTTATTCTCCTCTATTAATGAGGAGAAGTATGCTGCTCTTGCTTTACAAAGGGTCCTCTTATACAGCAGTAAACCATTTTTCCAGACTAGGAAGGACTCTCGCAGGCCTGTGGAGCGATATTTTCTCTCCAGTTTCCTAGCATTTTGCTTCAAAGTACGCAGCTCTGCATTAAACCAATGAGCAAGCTTTCTATTTTTAACGGTTTTCATTTTCAAAGGAGCTGCGTTGTCTAAGGCAATACGCAGAGAACTAGCAACCCCATCAACAAAATCATCAACCTGTGAAGGGGAATAAGCTAAGCTTTTGCACTCTGCAGCACTGCTCAGTGACACAGAGGAGAGAGAAAGTGAAGCAGATTCTTTAAAATTTTTAACTGCACTATCTGATAAAGATCTACTAAAATTGAACCTTCTTTTGGGGGAGGAGAACTCTGTTAAAGTAATCCTGAAGGTTATTAGAAAGTGGTCAGAGAGGACAGGGTTGTGAGGAAATACTGTTATTTCTTCACATTCTATGCCGTATGTCAGCACAAGATCCAAAGTATGAAGATGAGAATGCGTGGGACTATTCACATTTTGAACAAAGCCAACAGTGTCTAAGATAGCATTAAAGGCTGCTCTTAAGCTATCGCCTTCAATGTCAGCATGGATGTTAAAATCTCCCACTATGATGACCCTGTTAGTATTTAATACCAAATCAGAAAGGAACTCTGAAAACTCATCTAAAAATTCAGAGTAAGGACCTGGTGGACGATACAAAGTTACAAAAAGAAGAGGTTTTCTTGCCTTGAAATTTGGATCAGGGAAATTAAGGGTTAAATGTTCAAAAGAGTTGTAGGTATTAATTGTTTTGGGAGTAATCAGTAAGTCAGACTGGAAGATTGTTGCTACTCCTCCTCCTCGCCCAGAACTTCTGGGGATGTGAAAATTTAAATAGCTTGAAGGAGTTGCCTCATTTATGCTCACATAATCCTCTTGCTGCAGCCAGGTTTCTGTAAGGCAAAACAAGTCAATGTGATTATCACAAATCAAGTCATTAACTAGTAGACTTTTAGAGGAAAGCGATCTTATGTTAAACAGACCGCATTTAATTGTTTTAACTTTTTCCCCAATTGGAGTTATTTTGATTTTAATTAGATTATCATGATTTACTCCTTTGGGAATCTTTGCTAATTTATTAGATTTTGGTCGTGGGCAAGACACTGTCTGGATGGAGTAAAGAGTGGGTAACAGTAGAGAAGCTGCAGAGATGTGTGTTAAACTACAACTCTGCTTCCTGGTCTGCACCCTGGGTGGTCAGGGTTTTGGAGGACTAATAAATGTGGCCAGATTCCTAGAAAGAAGAGCTGCACCATCCAAAGTGGGATGGATGCCGTCTCTCCGAATCAGACCAGGCTTTCCCCAAAAGGATTGCCAATTATTAATGTAGCCCACGTTGTTTTCAGGACACCACCTAGACAACCAGCGGTTGAATGACGACATGCGGCTAAACATGTCATCACTGGTCAGATCAGGGAGGGGACCAGAGAAAATTACGGAGTCCGACATTTTTTTGGCAAACTTACACACCGATAGAAACACTAATTTTAGTGACCTCCGATCGGCGTAACCGGGTGTCATTACCACCAGCGTGAATAACAATCTTACTGTATTTAACCTTATCCTTAGCCAGTAGTTTCAGGTAGGATTTGATGTCGCCCGTTCTGGCCCCCGGCAAACATT